TAGTAGTAGTAGTAGTAGTAAACGAATACATGTGTACGTATGCTGACAGTCACAGAACATCTTTTCTGTTGGATTGGTGGTTTGTTCGTCGTAGCGATCAACGTACGTGTAAACTTCTGAGTTTGCAGCCTTCGCGTAGCCGTGCAGAGGGAGCCCAGGCATGTGGCGCAGTAAGGGGTGCCAGATACACCTGTCCTGGGCGTGCTGCAGTTCCGCGTAAGGCGTAAGGTAGGGTTTGAGGATTTTCGTTTGAGGGCCTTTTTGGTGTCTGCATGAGCATCCCCCAACCCTTTTGGGTAGGCACTGATGGCAACTTTCAAACCTTTAGGGCCTTGGGTTTCCAGTGCCAGCATGGGTTCGAGGTATTCGGGTTCCTTTCGAGGGATTTCCTGCTCCGCAAGGATGAAACTAAACACCACCGACACCACCGTATCGTTCAAGGCGGTGGGCTCAAGATGTAACTTCAAAGCAGAGATTGCTGGATCAGCTATCTATCTAGAGATACCAGTGACACTTACGAGAACAAGAACGGACGGAAGAACAGGAAGCAATACCTCACAACCTTCATAGAGAGCAGTGGAAACTGCAGCAACAAGGAGCAGCCACGCAGGCATAGCTACTTGCAGCAATGAGCGCGATAATCTAAGTGTCTGGCTCGCCTGCTGCTCTCAGGCTGAGGAGTGTTACAGCTCGCAGACTGCGGCCCTTGACGCGCTGTGAACGTGCACCATCTCTGCAGACGATTTCGACAACTCTTTAGCTATTTATTGCCACCTTGTCTGACGTGCAGTCCAAAGAATTAGCCTTCGATGATCCAGTGTAGAAGCACGGGTGTTCCTCACACGAAGCACTAACGACACTGTGAGGATTGGCTTCGTTGACGTGCAGCAGCACACCGGCCGAACCCAACACGAGGACACCCAACCAATCAACTAACCTTTGCCCGCTCCACAACTGGCCAAGAAGCCGAGAGCCCTCGAACCTCTCCCCCACTAAACCTTAACCTAAGGGCCCCGAAAACCTCAATGCAGCCTCGATGCCGCATCGGAGCATGACTGTCCCACCAGGCCGGGGCCACACATCGCCTTTGGGTTTCAGCCCTTGACCCGTTTTTGGGTTTACAGTGGTGGGTCTGGGTTTGCCGCAAGACCCTGTTGAGCAAGATGTTTCCTGTGGCCATGTGTTGCCTGTGTCAAACGATCGCACTGCAAACGGTCTGTGAGACAGTTGCCTACCTGTGGCGACGCTGTAGCCTTACGACTCACGATGAAGAAGCGTGATCTGCTGTTGCAGGTGTTCTTGGAAAGGGGACTCGACTGTTGTGATGTGAAACGAGAGTCCTACAAGACATGAGGACACACTACTCAGCTGGTCAGAGCTGATGCATGTTTGTCCCAGGGCGCCGTTCTAGGATCTTGGTTGTAACATCTGTTGTTGCTGGTCTTCTTGGTGCTGCTTCTGCCCTTGGCCATGCTGACATTCTGAACTATCTACAGCTTTACCTGGGAGCTCTGCGACGGCCAACGTTCTTTCGAAATGAACAACGGTTGCCAGAAATGCGAGTGCGTTACTGGTGTCAGGACTGAAAGTGCACTCATACCTATACCTGCCTCGAAAGACTCGTGTGCCATACAGGATACATACTAGGCATTACCAGGCACTATTTGTCCTGGTGATCTCAGAGGACCGTCAGGGGATGACTCTCGGATGCTGTGTGGCTGTAACTGCACAACCATCCCGCTGCGACCGCAAAGTAAGAACGATTAACCGCAATCCGAATAGTCATGAAAGCCAGACCAGGCTTCAGCACATTGTAACAACAGCACCAAACGCAGCAGCAATAGCAACGGCAACGGCAACAGAAATAGCAATTGCAACAACAACAACAACAACCACAACCACCCGACGACAACAAGGACAATGACAGGACCAATTAGTCAACTAGTACTACTACTACCTCCATACATTTAAAGCCAAGCGCAGGAAGCACCCGCTGCGGTTGACAGCGACGCCGATGCATCAAAAGCGGCCATGTGGCTGTCAAAGCCATTTTCATCGCCTCAGACGGCTCAGGGTTTCTGGTTTCTGGCTGCGTGGAGCCACCGTATTGACACTGGCAAATGTGCTGATATCAGTCGCAATGACAACGGCAGCAAAAGCCCAATGATAGTTATTGCAAGCAAGGGCTCAGAGTATCACGATGATGATCATCATGACCCTAAATGAAACTATCAGCGCTGGAACAATCAAGCATTGCAATAACCAGTTTGTGAACGGAATGATGGAGACTAAAAAGATTGATAATCTGAGCTTCTTCCGCGACCTTCGGGAGCTTCTGCTGTTGCAAGCTCGCGTGCCTGCAATGTGCCTGAGCTGCAGACACGGCTCGCAGGAAAAGAAGAAAGATTCCGTTAGACTAGCCAAGAGCAACATAGGGAGACATGCAAGGCAGGACGTGCCCAGGTTTGGAAGTTTGGAAATGCGGTGGTCGCCATGAAAATGAGAACCTGATTGTATACTTTGCTCCGGCCGAAGATGCTCTCGATGAAGTCTAAGCGAGCCTGTCAAGGAAAGCCGCCCGGATACTGACTGCAATTGGGTGCAGCTTCAAGTGCTGGAGCTAAATGCTGAATCCTTCCCCGCCTCCCAGGCATCGTCCAAGAAACGGCTTCCACCGGCATGTGCTCGATCCCCTGCTGCGTCCTTTCGGCCAAAGCGAAGCTTGTGACTGACCCGAGTTAAGTTGACAACAAGTATCCGCAACAGATACCTAAGAACTGACGACTTTTGTCTATCAGTGCCTGCCTCCATCTGTCGTATTCAGTATCTCTGCGCTCATACAAGCGGTCAGACGTGCAAACAAACAGAAACGCACGAATCAATGCAACATGTTTGACGTTTTGCCCGAGATATCTGAAGGGCCGAAGGGCAAAGTGCGAAAGTATCCCTCAGCACAACATATGCTTCACGCCATCCCCACCCTGTCTTATGCATCAGACCCATGTGATGGCGACTTTCTCAAAGTGGACATGCGATCTCTGCAAAAAAAGGAGCCAGAGCCCCAAACACACACACACACACACACACACGCAAGCCATCCATCAATCCCGCCACCCCTCCATCAGCCATCGTTGCCTCGGCCAGGCGTGCCCCACCCAACACCAGCAGCGAGCGACCAGCCCTACCAGGAGGCGGAAAGGCCAGCAGCCTTCGATTTGAGCGGCGTACGGGTCGCTATTTCTGCGATGGTTTAGAGTGCTAACATCATTGTATCATCATATATCATCATCACCTTGTTGTCGTGCTTACAGGCTTAGTGGCTGGCTGATCATTACATATGTTGCTGATCGTACTGTTTATACTGGTTTTGCTACGGCCAGAACCCGATGTTTCCTCGTGGCTTGTGCGGCTTGTGGTATGAGAAGCCATATCTTTACGGTTCTTACATTGTGGAACGAAAATTGCTCTTGTTACAAATTAGTCGGGCCAGCAGCAGCCCTAGTGGGTCGGGTGGGCGTAGTTCGCCTGGGTGTTTCCCTGGCTTCGTTGGGACCAGCGCGCGGCATTTTCGAGGGACTCTGCTTTCTGAATTTCTGAATGTGCAAAAAGATCTGAAAGCAAAGAAACACTTTGCGACTACTGGAGCTCGAAAGTAATTTGTAGAATTGTAGACATCCTGCGATCTGGTATTTTAGCAAATGGCTCCTAATGCCATGATCATGTTCACATCCTCCGGCAGGTTATGCCGGAGAAAGGCGTGAACATATGTGAAAAAGGTTTGCGAAACTCCGAGGCGAGAACCTTCGTTGCTATGCAACGTATGACGTATGAGCACAAAGTCTCGATGACTTTGCCACGAGTCTGGATGCACGACAACGGACCTCATTAGCAGCCCCATCCCCCCACACACCCCAACAGAACCGCAGCAAAAAGTATAGGAACAGCTGTGGTCTAAGAACTCTTTGTGGGAACAGGACGTTATCACTGTAAGCTCCGTCGAATTCTGCTCCTTCCCGAGTCACGACATCCGACGCTTCCCGACCCCCCCGGGCGGAAAGCGCAATACCTTCCACGGCGCTTCACAACAGCACTGCAGATACGTGCATGCACCAGATCGCTTCTCTAGGAAGAAGTCCCCGGCGCGGGAGGCTCAGTCGAGGCTTCTCAGCTCACCCGCCGTCCTGATAGTTGAAGTTTCCTGCGTCGCATGCTCCCGCCAAGTCACTCTGAGCAGCGGACTCTTCACGATCGCCGGCTTTCGCATCCACTGGAGCACACTGTGGCTGCAGCCGCCCTCTGACAGGCGGAGCCTGACGGAACGCCAACATAAGAACACAAAAAGGCGCACCAGTAGGGCCCTTGCACGTTGATGTCCAGGACCTCGGCAAACCACTCCAGCTGCCTGCAAATCGCGATTAAAGTGGGTTTAAAAAGGAATCGCCGAAATCTGGCCTCAAGCGAAACTCCATCAGCAGCTGGGTGGCCCGGACGAAGCGATCAGTCGATGTGGTCGGCCAGCCCGGCATCTGAAGCAAGATGAAGCAAGTCAAGATTCACCGAGCAATATTGCCCGTCACCTGCCTTCCGATAAACCTCGTAGACGAAGGCGCCTAGCATGAAAGTCCAAAAAAAGAATATCGTGTCAATGCGACTGGCCCTCGTCGAGGGTCCGAAGCAATGCTTCCTCCCGATCATAGACTCATAGACCTGACGGCAGAATCACTCGCAGTTCGCTGACGATCACTACCCAGCCTCTGTCGTGTGGCTCAAAAGCAAGGCAGCACACCAAGAACGGAATCAAGCCACCCCCGCCTCCCACCCACCCCAAGCGGGAAAGCTCTGAAATTATCGAGCTTCGGTCTGAATCTGAAGCCAAACGAGGAGACAACGCCTCTTGCCCCGGCAACTTGAAGTTGCAGCTCAGCGCTTCTCACAAAGTCACTCAATCCATCTCTTGTAGATCAAAATGAACATAGCCAGCCGGCCACTCTGGATTCCATGCGGTCAACGGGGCATCCTACTGGCTTTGAAAGCGATTGCTCTGGACTCACCGCATCTTTTCCCACAGCCTGATTGGCCTGCTCGTTGGACTCATCACCGATTGCATTGAGCAGCCACTGTCCAGTCTCAGCGCCAGCCTGCAGGTAGACAGACTGTTGCCCCTGCGTAGTAGGGCAAACTCTGGATATGTCATTCTGGATATGTCATTGGCAATTTCAGTTGCAGTTCCAACTCCAGTTGCAGGTCCATTTGCAGCTCGGGGGTTGTGCAAGGCTGTAATCCACTGCTAAAGGATGCCGACATGGTATTTGGACTCCTCCCCTGCGCCATGCATCTGCGACTGTGCCTGCCACCTCCAGAGAAAGAACATCGCGAGCAGCAAGTGTCAAACCCATAATGAGCAACCCTCCGGCATCCCGGCGAGCGACATGGTTGGTTGGTTCGCCGCTTCCTCAACCACACGACTCCGCATGAGAGAACGTTGCTGGCGTTGGCATTCACGGCTCTTGGGCGTGCCGATCTTCAACAAGCTCCGAGAGATGCGCGCCTCGTACGGCGAAATGTATATAGTAGGCACTCGCAGCGGACCTGCATCAGCGATCAGAAACGGGTTTGTGAGCCTTGCCTGCCACTCCCCTTCAAAGGCCACAGGAGCTGCGTGCTCCAAGAAGGTGTGCCCCACTCCGAGCATTGAGGATGGGTTGCCACGCGAAACAGGCAGGGATATAGAGCGTATTGTCAGCACTAACTGCATGTATGGCATGACAGGTCTTCCCACTGCAGTGTTGGGCAGTTCCAGTTAACTGCCCAAGCCAGCACATTGCTTATGGGCGCACGCGCTGACCTAGCGCACATTGTGAGGAGTGGTCAGACGAGCTTGAGGCAGTGCAACCACCATGTCAGTTAGGCGCACACTCACCGATGAGGATGGTGCTGCACTCATCACATTTCGTCTTCTGTCTCGGCCTCCTTCTATGCCCTCGGCTGCTGCTGCTGCCAAGCAGGGAGCCTCTCCTGCCACACCGTGTGCGGTAGGCCTGCTCCAGGTCTTTGGCCAATGTCTGGCGATTGCCACGCTCCGGGCGGACTCTCATGCCGATTGTCTTAATATAAGCGCTCCCCACCAGAGCCAGCAACTCTTCGTGACAGCGACTGGCGGCCGCACGTCGGAGGCAACAAGTAGCTACCACAGATTTACGCGCCAAGAGTAATAGTAAAAGAACAAGTAGAAGTAGAAACAGAAGAAAAATACGTAGGTAAGACGTTCCTATGGGCCCTTATCCGATCGTGGGTCGAACTGCTGCTTGTGGGTTGGGGGTGAGTAACATCATGTTCGAGCGCATGCAGCTTACATGTTCTGTTGGCCTTGTGCGGTGTGGATCACATTGACATATTTGCTACAAACTGTGCCAATGACCAAGCGTAACGCACCGCCTCGCCGCTGCCATGCCAAATAATAAGGAAAAACACCAAGATTTGAGACTCTCACTGCATCGTAACCAAGTGCGATGACTCTGCTGCTCAAACGAGTGTAAAGACTCTGCCGGCCAAAAGAGCCCATCTCCGGGGTTGTGCAGACATCCTCTTATCCTAATTCCAAATCTCCTACAACAGCCAGACATTCTAGATATTAGCTTTGCGCGTTGCGACCGCATAAAAACAACACCTAAAGTAGTAACTAGTTTCAAGGTTTGTCTATCAGCGCGTTGCAACTCAGACCGAATAACGAGAACCTTCTGTACATGCATGAAGTCCTGTTTCATTCGGCATGTCCAAAACCCCAAAGCAAGACAAGCAAGATTAGCCATCATCTTGCTCCATCATCCAACAAGTAGTTGCCACAGATTTTCGCGCCTCACGTGTTTGCATCATCAGAGCCTTCACACGCACAACATCCTGCAAAAAGCGGATTGAAACTACTCCTCGCCACAGCCTCTGAAACACCAACCAATGCGATCAATTAGGAATGCGACCCGCCTAGTACTGGCAGTGGGTGGTGGTGGTGGTGGTGGTGGTGGTGGTGGTGGTGGTGGTGGTGGTGGTGGTGGTGGTGGTGGTGGTGGTGGCGGCGGTGGTGGTGGTGGTAGTAGTAGTAGTAGTAGTGGTAGGAGTAGGAG